TTAAACCAGAGTTCTCTTAACTCGTTTCATGTGGGACCCTCCTCAGAAACTGGACAGCACTCCAGGAAGCCTGTGTCACTAATTCTGCTTTGCCCCGCCGCCTGGGCCCGGTGGTCTCTGAGCCATTGTAAGTCTTGTTTGCAGAACAAGAAGTTGTGTCGCAGGGTTTTCATTAGTCTTGTCTTAGTGCTCCTTTTTTTCTTTCTTTTTTTAATTTTTATTTTATTTTATTTCTTTTTTGAGACAGGGTTTCTCTGTGTATCTTTGGCTGGTCTTAGAGCTTTTTTTGTCAAAAAGGATTATTAATTCAAATGGTCAAATTTCCTACCCTGTGCCAAGCTAGTACTCTGTCCCTGCAGAGTCCAAGCGTCCATTACTCCCTGTCGTAGCCGCATTAGATCCTGGGTTCTAGTGGCCTGGGAGGAAGCACCTTCCACTCTGGAGTTGACTGTGGCTGCTCTGCCATGGCTGACTCTGTGTCCCTCTCTCCCTCATGCCTTGTGCTCACCCCCATCCTGGCATAGACGATGAACAGACACTACTGGGTGTCATGGGTAGGCTCAGCTGTGGACCAGACATGCCAAAAATAAAACTCCAGTGTTCTGTCTAGTTCAAAACTGGGGCCTCCACTTTACTGAACCATTTTCCTGGTTTTTATGGCCTGAGCATGTGTGCTCAGATGAGGCTTTATCTGGACGCTATGGCTGAGGTAGAGGAGTGTGGCCTGACAGTGTGGTTAAGTGGATTTGTGACTGATGGTGTGGCTGTGCCAGCGTGGGCTGCGGAATGGGTCTGCTGTGGGCTAGGATCCGTGGTTTGCCTTCAGCCCTGTCTTGGTTAGCTCCCCTCCTTTTCATTCTTCCCTCCTAAAAATGAGACACAAAGACCCACAGATGACGTTTTCTCGATGACTGGTGGGTGTGAAAAGCAGCTATTGCAGTGGAAGGCAGGGCTGGAGTTCATGTTACCCGAGGAGTGTGGCTCAGTAGGCGCTGGGGTGACGTTTACCATGGGTAGTATGTTTAGAAACTTGGGATTTAGATACGGAAAGACAATATACCGGAAGTGAGGGATGAGGTACACATGTGTACATGAATCCATTGGAGGCCAGAGGCCAACCTTGGGGTCATTCCTTAGGTGCTGTCTACTTTAATTTATCTTTCCCCCTGACTGGTCTCCTGGGCCTAGAGCTGCAATTGCTGGCTGGCTGGCTGGTCAGCAAGCACCAGGGACTCGCCTGCCTCTCTGCCCCTCTGCCCCTCCCACACTGGGATTGCCAATGCATGCTACCATAGCCAGGGTTTTAGGTGGGTTCGGGGAATGAGCTCAGGGACCCGTGTTTGCATGGCAAGTCCTTTACTGGGCCATCTCCCCAGCCCCATTTGGAACTTGAAAGAATATTTATTCTATGTGTAGATGTGTTTGCCTGTCTGTCTGTCTGTCTGTGCACCAAGTTTGTGCAGTGCCTGTGGAGGCCAGAGGAGGGTGTCAGTCAGCTCCCCCTGGAACTGGAGTTAGAGAAAGTTGAGAAGCCCCTCAGCTCTCTGCTCCAGCCTTTGCCGTGCAGACTTTTGTGCACGGGGTTGTTGGCCCCACAGGTTGCTGAGGCTTGGTTTTTGTTTATGTTTTTTGTGGGTTTTTTTTTTTTTTTTTTTTTTTTTTTAGCTGAGGACCGAACCCAGGGCCTTGTGCTTGCTAGGCAGGCGCTCTACCGCTGAGCTAAATCCCCCAACTCCGAGGCTTTGTTCTTTAGAGTGGATGATCTCAACTGAGCAGCGGATTCTCTGCCAGCTCTGATTGGCCAGTGAGCCCTCTAGTGACTGCCGCAGTTAACTCTGCTGTCCACTGGGAACATCTCCCTCCTGGCTTCTCTTCAGTCGCTTTATGTTGCTGTTGCTGTGCGCCCCTGACTGGGAATCTTCTTCCTGAGCGGGCCCTCGTTGGGTCTTCCAGCGCTGTTTGACCCTCTGCTGGGGTCTCCTTTCATGTTTGCCCATATGTTTTCTTTCCAACGGGCATCTAGGGTGGGGGCTGTGGCCCTGGCAGAGCCTGAACCCAACCACCGGGTTTGAGACAGCTGCTCCTGGCTCTGTGGAAGGGCGGGCTACCTTGTCAAGGGGTTGTGTGGCCACTCAAGTCCCCGCTGGGTTAGCTAGTGACTCAGGAGATGCAGTGGTCCTCCGGCCTCTGCTGAGGGCCTGTTGTGTGCTGGGACACACCTTCCCGTCCCAGCAGGTCACAGCTCTGCTTCAGTCCTGCCTTGATGCTTGTGCAGAGGTTCGAGGCCAGCTGGAATCTAGAATCAGAGCTTTCTTAGCCCCCATCCCCACCCCCAAGTGCCCAGCACAAGCCCTGTGTGTGGCATGCTAGACTCCCAGAAATACGGGGTTTTCAAAGATCTCGTGGGCACTCCTTCCCTGTTTTCTCTTCCGCTGTCTGGTCAGCCTCTGTCAGTCCCAACAGCAGAGCCTTCTCAATGCTGCAGTGCTGAGACAACCCTTCCTCCTTCAAGAGAGTGCCTGCTGTGTGCTTCGGGCAGGCCCACGCCTCGCCAGCCCAGGCTAGCCTTGAGCTCACAGCGGTCCTTGTGCCTTAGCCTCCTGAGCGCTGGAGTCTGGGTGTGAGCCGTGTGCGGGGGCCAGCAGTGTTGAGCTCCTGTTTTTGGAACAGCCGCCCTGCAGGTCAGGCAGGTCAGGCCGATCAGACCGATCAGATTGATCAGACCGATCAGATAAAGCCTCAGTAGTGCTCTCCAGCAATCTGCCAGGCAGGTCAGCTGCTGCCGGCTCTTCAGGAGTTAGGTTTTTGTGAGCACAAAGCCTGCCTTTCCTGTCCCCTGCCCCCACCCCCAATACTGCTGCTTGTGTGGCCATTGTGAATGTGAGGCTGTTGGTTTTCAGGGGGCTGAAGGAAGAGGAGGCACAAGTTGTGGGCTAGTGCCTCACAGTCCTTACCGAGTTCAGCCTCTCTTTCCTCCCTGTTAGTTTTTAAAGACAGGGTCTCTAGTTCTTGCTAGCCTGGAACTCACTATGTAGACCAGGCTGACTTTGAACTCACATATAACTGCCTGCCTCTTGTGAGTGCTGGGATTAAAGGCATGCGCCACCACACCCTGCCTTCATCCTTTTTCATTTTTATTCATTTCTGTCTGTCTGTCTGTCTTTCTTTGGGTACTTGGTCCTTCAAAGGTTCAAGCTTTTTATTACTTCCTCTGGTCCTGAGAAAGTCAATAAAAAACCTGTTGATGCTTAAGTGTGGGTACATGCAGGCCACAGTTTACACACGGAGGTCAGAGGAAAACCCAAGGTGGCGGTCCTCAACTTCCATCTGGAGATAGGGGCGTTCTCTTTTTACAAAACTTAATTACTATGTGTGTGTGGGGGGTGCATGTTTTCATGGTGCACATGTTTGTATGGTGCGCATGTGTGTATGGTGTGCATGTGTGTATGGTGCGCATGTGTGTATGGTGCGCATGTGTGTATGGTGCGTATGTGTGTATGATATGCATGTGTGTATGGTGTGCATGTGTGTGGTGTGCATGTGTGTGTGGTGTGCATGTGTGTGTGGTGTGCATGTGTGTGTGGTGTGCATGTGTGTATGGTGTGCATGTGTGTGTGGAGGTCAGAGGACAACTTTGTGGAGTCAGTTCTCTCTCACCTTTCTGTGGGTTCTGGGGATCGAACTCAGGTTGTCAGGCTTGTGCAGCAAGCAGTGTAACTGCTGAGCCATCTCACTGGGTCTCTCGTTCACCACTGTGTCTGTGTACTAGCTAGCCCTTGGATTCCAGGTGCTCTCCTGTCTTTCTTTACCGCCCACCGGTCCATAGGAGACAGGCTGCCGCGTCCAGCTTTACCTGGGCTCTGAGCATCCAAACTCAGTTCGTACACGGCAGTAAACCCCGGACCCACCACCCATCTCCTCAGCTGTTTTCCTTCCTCCCCCTTGTCCTAGTCAGACCTAGAGCCTCACACATGCTAGCTAAGCTCTACCTCTGAGCTGTAGCCCCAGCCCCACCTTCATTTTTGGTCGTGTTCTAATTGCCACTATGGAGGAGCAGACTTTGAGACATCTTCATACCCCAATCCCAGCTGGTCCCCCTTAGTCATGTTCTCTTCCCTCTTCCTCCAAGGTCTGATGTGGTCCCAAGAAGTGGTAGCAAGTGTAGGTTCTTGTAAGCAGCTGACCCCTCTCTGTTTACCAGGAGGAGTAAGCTCCAGTCTCTGGACGGCAGCAAACATGGCCTCCATCCTGCATCTCAGGGCACGCTGTAGGTTGGTTTTGTTATCTGTGGGGTCAGTCTCTCATTTGGACATGAGAGTCCATGCTTTGTACATTGTCCTGTGAGGAAGTAAGCTTGCTGCGCCCTAACGAGGGCTGGAAATCAACATACTGAGAGTTAAAACAATCCCCCTGATACTGTGGGGACTGGAGATTTGTGCCAGATGTAGGAGTCACTTCTCCATCATATGTCATGGTCCCACTCAACAGCTCGAGTGTTGTATTAATGCTATCACTATGCTTTAATCTGTACATATAAAAGTTCTCCATGCAACAAAAGTTTGAATTTTATGCCACTAGAAATTGAGTTGATGAAAGCCTTCTACATCACAGACCATCAGACTCCCGATTTGTAAGATAGTCACCAATCTGTCTACAGCCTCTCTCCTGGAAAGCTCTGTGTGCTGGTGTGGTCTTTTCCTGTGTTCAAGTTTGTTCTTTTAGCATTTTGTGTAGTGGTGCATTTTTTTCTCTTTCATTTGTTAGATGATAACTTATCATGCCACTAAAATGTGACGTTACATGGTGGTATAACAGTTTTGAAATCTGGAAAGATAAAACTGGAAACATTTGCTTGTAGTTTTCCACCTCCGAGTGTTTTGTTAATGAGACGTTGTATGCTGCCATATGCCTGGGGCTATACTATAGGTGTTGATTGATTTTGGATGGGAAGGCCTCTCTAATTGCAGCTCTTGACATGTGCGTCACCGGTGCTGTCCTAGGTGAGCAAGACATGGAAGGTGATTTCTGAAGACGAGGTGCTGTGGTACCGGCTGTGCCAGCAGGAGGGGCACCTTACCCGGAGCAGCATCTCCGATTACACCTGCTGGAAGCTCATCTTGCAAGAGTGCCGTGCCAAGGAACACATGCTCAGAGCCAACTGGAAGGTAGGCAGTGGCCACTGAGGGACACTGGACGGACACGGGCCTGCAGTTGTGGCGGGAGCGGGGTGTGTTGCGCAGCCTGCCCCTACACACACTGCTGAGTTCAGCATGTTCCTTACGCTTGCCCTTCAGCCTTGGGCCCAGAGCTTCCCCCTGCTGTGCAGGAAGGAGTCTGAGGTGGGCTCTCTGGTACTGCCTTTCCTGGCTGGTTAGGGTCACTGGAATCTTGCTCTGTCAGTCCTCTCCCCCTTTCTCTTTCCCGGCCTCTGGAGGGCTGACATGCAGCAGCACCATGCACACAGGCACAGGCGAGAGGCAGGCGCTTGGAGGCCCCTGCGGAGGAGCTGCTGCTGGAGAGGTGGCGCAGTGCTGAGTGCTGTCTGCTCTTCCCTCACGTAACCCTTGGCTTGCCGCCCTGGCATTTATCACTTCAAGTCTCTACAGAAATATTAGATCACAGCTAAGCATTTGCAGAGAAGCATTTCAGGGAGAGCAAGCTGTCAGGAAGCGTGTTCCAGGGCTGTGTGAGGCGCGGCAAGGTGGTGCATGGCCAAGCTGCCTTCCCACCTAGGCAGCTGGGAATTTGCCCATTGGAGATGGGGTAGAGCTGGGCCCTTCTTAAAGGTCAATCCAATAGACTTTGAGGCAAGAAAGCCTTGCCATGATTGGTGGTGGCATATTGCCTGTGTGCATGTCTGTCCCTAGGCACCTCGTAACCAGATTAATGACCAGTGCACTGGTCCCGTAACATCAGTGAGCAGTGCTTACCCTATGGGATGGCCAGCTTTAGCGCTGGGGATGTTGGGCCAGCTCTTTGCAGGACGCCAAGCAGCACCCCCAGGGTCCCCACTAGATGCCAAAAGCACTCTGCCCCTGTTGCGGCACACAAGGTATCTCCAGGCATTGCCAGGTATCCCCTGGATGGCAAGTTGCTCCTGGTGAAGAACTAGTCATCACTGGAGAATTGGCCAGGCCAGTCTTCTTAGCCTGAGAAGACACTACCAACTCAGTAGGATCTCGCTGGCCCCATGGTGTCTGCATCCACAGAAGGTAATGGAGTAGGCTTGTCTGGAGCCTGCCCACCTGATTAGGTCTTCTGATGGACGGGCAGAATGATCTGTGGAGGAAAGCTGCTCAGATGAAGCAGGGGCTGGATGCAGCATCCGCAGTCCACCTGCAGGCAGAGGGAAGGAAAGCTTAGAGCTGGGCTTTCCTGCGTTTCTGTCCAGAGAGGCGGGAACCAGAGAGTGAGCTTGTCCCTGGCATTGCGTTTGGAGATGTCAGAGTCAAGGGAAAACAATAGTCTGCTTATGCTGCTGCTTTGGGGCCGTGGGGTGGGATGGGGGCGAGGGGAGGAGGGCAGGGTGTCCTCGTCTGGGCCAGGGATGGTAGAAGTAAAGAGCATCACAAGGAAGATGTGATGTCACCCAGTGTCTGTTCACTGATTTTCTCCGGTAAGTGTAAAACCGTCAGATGCGCTCAGTATGCAGTTGTCTGTCGAGGGATCTGGTTAGATGGGCAGCAGCATGTGAGGCCTTCTGGCATCCTCGGTCACCTCCCAGAGCTGTGACCCAAGAGGAGCACTTGGGTGAAGTTTAAGTGATGGATGACTCACCGAATGTCGGGGTGGCAATCGAAGTGCAGTTTTGGAAAGAACCTTCATCAGCACGTGCAAAGGGTACTGTGGCAGGTGTACCACCTCTGCAAGCCTCCACTGTCATCTGGGTGGCTCAGAGTGACACTGCTCCCAGGCATGTGCAGAAGGTGGCCCTAGGGATGACCTGATGTGTACCCTGTGGAGCCTGCCTGTGTTCAGGGCTCCAGCCAAGTGCACTGATTCAGACCTAACTGAGATCCATTTCAGGACCGGTTGGGCAGGCAGTTGGTGTGGTAACTCCCAGGTCAATGTCTGGAAACCCCAGAAAGGACCCTGGAGTTCTGAGGCTCTCAGGGCATGAGCTGTGAATGCATGTCTGCCTGAACCTGCACTTCAGAGCTAACTGGAAATGGGTTGGTAGGTGGGTGAGGTTGCCACGAAGCTTTTCTTCTGGTGTTTGCCACCCTGACATTCTGAGATCTGTCTAGAATGAGAATAGCCAGTGGGATTGGGAGCTTGGGGTGGAGGGCTGCTGTTTTACTGAGCTCAGTGAGTGCCGGGGGTACAGCTTTCATTCAGGCCCTCTGCTTTTCTTCAGTCCCTTCCCCCAGATGTGTCCAGGCTCCCTTCAGCTCAGTTCCATCAGACAGCCCTGAAGGTCTTCTGCCCCTAGGCTATAGACTGGGCCTGAGGATTAAGTTAGGGTCATTATACAAATTCTCTTAATTTCAGTGCCATAGCTACTTAATGACTGTTGATTTTAATGAAGTGGATGCCATCATCTCTTTCCTAACGGCATAATCATCACAGCGGCTAACGCTGGGTGTGGTACTTACGCATCTAGTGTTAATCCTTGGCCAGGCCAGCAGAGCTGACAGTTCAGATAACGGAGTAATCTTGATCACTGGTTGTGCTTACTTTGGGACTCACCTGTCTTACTGTGTCCTACTTCCTACACTGATACTAATATCTTCAGATTCCCTGCATTCTTACTTTAAAAATAGTTGATAAGTTTTCTGAATTTAACAGCAAATCACCTGTACAGTCTGGAGAGTGACATATGATAGCTATGCTTCTGATGTTGAATGAATGGAATTATTAATATATAGCAAGTGGAAGTAAAGGAGTAACGAGTGGGTGGAGAAAAGCAGCAAGTACCTCCACACCCGGCCGGATGCCCCCAGCATCCAGCAGAGGTGACTAGAGTAGCCCGATGGAGAGTCGTCTGCGTCGGGGAGCTTCCCGTCACAGCGCTGCCCCAGGCCGAGCTTCCAGCCGCTCTTCCATGGGCTTTTATGCTGCAGGAAACCAGCTGTGCCACCTTTGTGGAAATACTTTACTGTCTAGTAGTTGGCTTGGCGACTCCTTGGTACTCAGAGATGAGGGGTTTGGTTTTTGGAGCAAGGTTTATTATGTAGCCCTGGCTGTCCTGGAACTCGATCTATAGACCAGGCTAGCCTCAAACTGAGAGATCCGCCTGCCTCTGCCTCCCGAGTGCCGGGGAAGGATGGGATTTTTAATGCCCTGGTTGCTTGCTGTTTTTCCCTCTCACCAATAGAGAGCCAGGGTCATGCTTGGGTCTAAAGTAGGGAGGCAGCCAGCTTCTCAGTGAGCTCAAATAGCACCTGACAGTTTACTGATAGAAAGACCACCAGAGATCATAGGAAGTCCCACAGAAGTCCCACAGGGCCACAGCTGGAACTTGCCTCCTCCTGCCTCTCTCAACACTGACCTAGTGTTCCCAAGGAGCAACCCAATTTCAGGGTTAGGCTTTTCTCCGAAGACCCTTTTCCTGAGAAGTCTGACATGTAGGCAGAATGGTGTCTTTTCTGCTCTCCCTGGTCTGTGTCTCCTGTGAGCTTTTCATTTATTCTAGCAATTCTTTTACATGTCCATTGGGTGCTTCCTCCTGGAAGCTGAACTGCTTAAGTACTCGATGCACTGCTTCAGGCCCTGCCATGCACAGGACACTTGCCTGTGTGCACATACTTCTTCCTATCTGGTGACATTCTGGGGACAGGCCAGCACCTCACATTCATTGCTCCATGAGTGCCTCTGGCATAGGCTCACCAGCATGGTGTTGCCATATTATCCTTCTGAATGCCCGGTGTTGTCCATGACATTGAAGATGGCTACGACGTACAGGTGAGGGCAGAGCACGTTATCAAGGGGCTACCCCAAGACTAGTATAAACCACATCCACCTTTTCCTCACACAGAATCGCAAAGGCGCTGTGAGCGAGCTGGAGCACGTTCCCGATGCCGTTCTGTGTGATGTGCGCTCCCATGATGGCGTTGTCATCGCAGGGTAAGCAAAGCCATGTGCCTTCGCGTCAGCTCAGTCTGTGTCTTCACCCTCTGCCCCAGCACCCCAGTTCCAGCTGCTCTTAGGGTTCTGTCCTAGGGCCTGGGAGCTGCACAGCAGGGGTGGGTGTGTGGAGCAGGTCTGTACCTGTTTGTCCCAGTGTCTGTGGAGACTCCACTTGGCTCCCCATTGTGAAGCAAGGCTGTGGCCACGTGCTCTTCCTTCCCCACACGGTGCAGCTTCATCTCATCGCTGCAGTCAGTGTTTGCTGTCTCCTGACTGAGAAGTTTAACATGAGCTGCTGTGGGTGGTTCCTTTGGCCGCTCTTCTGGAACCCACCGTGAGGAGTTCTTTGTGGTTCTCACCACAAGATCTGGCCATGCGGTTGTTGATTGTACAGTCAGATCAACTGGATCTTAGGGTTAGGGTGTCTCTTGAGCTAGGGTGTCAGAATGTAAACTTTATACACTTTTGTCGTCTCAGGCTGTGTGCCAGAAACAGAGCCCCTGAGTTTGAGTCAGTCGGCTTTGTGGGAGCCGCTGCAGGGCTCCTGCCTGGAGGAGAGAGGAAACCAGAGCCGACTTCGGCCCTTTCTCTCCTGAAGTAGCATTCCTCGGTGAGACCAGCAAGATGGCTCAGAGGGTCCAAGTGCTGCCCCCAAACCTCACTATCCCAGAGTTTGACCCTGGAACCCACACGTTTTTATGTTGGTGGAAGGAGAGAACCGATTTCTGCAAGTTGTTCTCTGACCTCCATATGTCCCGTGACACATGGCCAGCCTCCCAAATATGAAATGTTAAAAAAAAAATTAAAAGCACTACTTGAATTCCAAATAGGTTATTGAAATATTTTATGGCAGGCCCTGCCATAAAAAAAAACTGTTTCTTTTTTTATTACACTTTATTTACTTGTTTGTGGTGTGTGTGTGTGTGTGTGTGTGTGTGTGTGTGTGTGTGTGTGTGTGTGTAGGGGGTGCACATGTGCCACAGCATATGTGTGCAGTTCAGAGAAACTTGCAGGATTGGTTTCTCCTGCTAGTGTGTGGGTCCCAGGGATTGAACTCGGGTTGTCAGGTTTGGTGGCAGACACCCTTACCCACTGAGCCATCTCGCTGGCCCTTCTGTTTTAAAGAGGATTTGGCCAGGAAGGCCAGTTTTTCTTAGCTTCTGTTCACTGGCCTCACACCCTTCAGAGAGACCCCTCAGCTCTTACAGCCGAGTGGGTAACCTGCTTCCCGCCTGCCTGCCTGCCTGGCTGCCTGCCTGGCTGCAGTCAGACCTGCAGCTCCATTGTGAGGTGTGGTTCTCTGAGCTCCCGATGGCAGAGAGCTTCCCCTCATGTCTGAGGACGGGTGGTAGCCAGGTGGGGTTACATTATTTTGACTTCAGAGCTCTGCCTAAGTGTCGCGCTGCTCAGGCTGGACTGAGAGTCCTAGCAGACTGGAGAGGTCGGCGACTATCCTTCCCCAAGTCCAGTTCGGAGCTTCTCTGAACATGGAGCCCCAAAAGGAGACCACGGCTCTGAAGGCGGCTGCTGCCCTCCTTGCCCCTCCCTCTCCCTGGGGATCTGCCCAGCACTAGATAGGCCACCAAAGGCCCAGCCATACCAGTGTTCTGGGGATCGATTGTGTGAAACTTGAGCCGTGGGTCAGAGAGGCTCCTGGGCTCTTCTCTGAGAGAAGCTGCAGTTGAGACCTCCGTCCGAGGCCCTGCGATCTTGCTTGTATGCAGTGCGTCTTGTGTTTATCATTAAAATTTGATCTGGCGGTTATGATGCTTGTTTTCTGGGTCAGCTCTTGAGTCCTTTTCATTTGAGACAGTGGTGTTTGTGGTTACCTCATTCCCAATCAATGTTGTATTCTCTAGGCTTTCTACAGCTAAGCATCTCCAAGGAGCCTCTTAAAGAGACAGCACCGCCTCTCCTGGCTTTCCCTCATGCTCATTTCCTCACTCTTCTTGTTTCTCTTTGTTTGAGGGAAGGAGAGCCTGACCGAAGGCTGCTTTTCGCGTCTCAGCCTGTGAGGTCTACTCCACACGACTGGAGTGCAGGCTGGCTTCTCTCCATCTTGGCGCTCTCTGTGCAGTGGTCTTGCTTTGGCTCAGGCTGCGTAGACCCAGGCTGGCAGGTTATGGACTGACCTGGTCTAGTTCTTCCTGGCTGAGGCTGAGCTGGGCCACGTGTGTCCCCAAAGCTGTCCACTGTCTTGCCTCCTTCCCTGTCGCAGGCGTTCTTGATCGTCACCTTCCTGACAGCAGACTCCTGTGTGGTCTGCGGCTGACTCCTAACTCAAGTGCACCGTGCATTTGCCACACTGTCTGTTAAATAACCTGGCCACATCTGTTTGAAATCTGAGATACAGTAAATATACCATGACATTCACTCTTTCAGTCTCAAATCCAGTGAATTATAGTCATTTGCAAGACTCTGCAACTGCTACCACTAATTCCAGAGCATTCTCGACACCCTACAAAAAAAACAAAACAAAACAACAACAACAAAAAAAACACTTCCTGTTCTTTGTTTTGTTTCTCTGTGTAGCCCTGGCTGTTCTGGAATTTGCTCTGTAGACCAGGCTGGCCTTGAACTCAGAGATCCGCGCCTGCCTCTGCCTCCTGAGTGCTGGAACTAAAAGGCTTGCGCCACCACACCCAACAACCCCAGACCCCATTCTTGATGGGCATTTCAGCTCTGCCTCCCTCCAGGAGTTCCTAAGTACTGTTGGCTAAGAACTGGCTCCCTCTCAGTGCCCACTCTTCCCGTAATGCTGGTGAGTGATCGAGTACATGGGGAAAGTGATCTTCTGGCTGGTGTCTCACGAGGTACCTGTTTGTATTACTTTACGTAGAAGGGACTTTAACCTTTGCAGCATAACTGGTCTTTTAACTATTTGTAAATGTCTTTTAAAACAGGTGCTGTGCGTCCTCTGTCACCCTGGGGTGCTGTGCGGTCCTCTGTCACCCTGGGGTGCTGTGTGTCCTCTGTCACCTTGGGGTGCTGTGTGTCCTCTGTCACCCTGGGGTGGTGTGCGGTCCTCTGTCACCCTGAGGTGCTGTGTGTCCTCTGTCACCCTGGGGTGCTGTGTGTCCTCTGTCACCCTGAGGTGCTGTGTGGTCCTCTGTCACCCTGGGATGCTGTGTGTCCTCTGTCACCCTGGGGTGGTGTGCAGTCCTCTGTTACCCTGGGGTGGTGTGCAGTCCTCTGTTACCCTGGGGTGGTGTGTGGTCCTCTGTCACCCTGGGGTGGTGTGCAGTCCTCTGTTACCCTGGGGTGGTATGCAGTCCTCTGTCACCCTGGGGTGCTGTGTGTCCTCTGTCACCCTGGGGTGGTGTGCAGTCCTCTGTTACCCTGGGGTGGTGTGCGGTCCTCTGTCACCCTGGGGTGGTGTTCAGTCCTCTGTTACCCTGGGGTGGTGTGCAGTCCTCTGTCACCCTGGGGTGCTGTGTGTCCTCTGTCACCCTGGGGTGGTGTGCAGTCCTCTGTTACCCTGGGGTGGTGTGCAGTCCTCTGTCACCCTGGGGTGGTGTGCAGTCCTCTGTTACCCTGGGATGCTGTGTGGTCCTCTGTCACCCTGGGGTGCTGTGTGTCCTCTGTCACCCTGGGGTGGTGTGCAGTCCTCTGTTACCCTGGGGTGGTGTGCAGTCCTCTGTTACCCTGGGGTGGTGTGCAGTCCTCTGTTACCCTGGGGTGGTGTGCGGTCCTCTGTTACCCTGGGGTGACGTGCAGTCCTCTGTTACCCTGGGGTGCTGTGCGGTCCTCTGTTACCCTGGGGTGGTGTGCGGTCCTCTGTTACCCTGGGGTGACGTGCGGTCCTCTGTTACCCTGGGGTGACATGCGGTCCTCTGTTACCCTGGGGTGGTGTGCAGTCCTCTGTTATCCTGGGGTGGTGTGCGGTCCTCTGTCACCCTGGGGTGCTGTGTGTCCTCTGTCACCCTGGGGTGGTGTGCAGTCCTCTGTCACCCTGGGGTGGTGTGCGGTCCTCTGTCACCCTGGGATGCTGTGTGGTCCTCTGTCACCCTGGGGTGGTATGCAGTCCTCTGTTACCCTGGGGTGGTGTGCAGTCCTCTGTCACCCTGGGGTGGTGTGCGGTCCTCTATCACCCTGGGGTGGTATGCGGTCCTCTGTTACCCTGGGGTGGTGTGCAGTCCTCTGTTACCCTGGGGTGCTGTGCGGTCCTCTGTTACCCTGGGGTGACGTGCAGTCCTCTGTTACCCTGGGGTGGTGTGCAGTGCTGTATAAGATTTTGTATGGAATAAGCGCCAACATTTCATGCATAGCCTCTCTCCACTCCCATTGTACTCTATTTTCCCTGGGAAGGCAGAGAAATGTGTGGGATTGTTTTGTTTGTGTGTTTGATTTTTAGTTGTCGTAACTTCAAACTACGCAGTTTTAAGCGTGGAAGCAGCTTTAGCTGATCTTGTTCCAGAGCTCTCAGGTGTAAGCGGTGGCAGACTCCGAACCTTCTGGGTGGACACATGCACTGTGCACACACGCCCCCCTCCCGTCTCCTCCGAAGCCTGTCACTGCCTCACTTTTGTTCTTTTAAGATGCTAGTGAGATCATGTTAGTTTTGCAAAGGTGTTCGAGTGCCCGAAGTCCCCGAGTGCCCTGACCCTACAGTCTGCACCTGTGACTTGCTGGGCCGTGTGTGTTGATTTCCAGGCTGGTTTTCTACTTATTTTCACACAATGCAATCAAAGCTTATATTGCATATTATACTTTCTTCTTGCGAGTTTTTCCATGTTACTTTTCATTGCTTTCTTAGACTTACTGCAGAATTCCTCCACTAGTTCCTAGTTTTCCCCTTCATTCACCCAATGGCGGACAGTAAATAAGTCGTTTCCTGTTTCCTAGATGTTCTAAGAAGTGTGTTGGAGGATGACATCATAGAACTTACATACACAAATTAGAAGGCTATGCTGTCACTAGGCTACATAGTCTCTTAGGGACACAGTTGTGGGGCACATGATTGTGGTAGCATTAAGATCACTTCATGTGGACGGCTC